CACCATAGACTTTGTATGTAAACCTGATGCTCCTGATGCTGAAATCGCGTTTGGTGTGAACGCACCATTAGAGGTGGGCGATACTGGGAATTTTGGTATTGATCCGATACCAAGTAAATACAGGGCCAATATCGCCGACATCGATATCGATACCGATACCAATACTTTTAAAGCTTAATAATTTGAAAAGATCCAAAAGATCTAGGATAGAATTTTGCCAAACCTTGTATGTGACAACAAAATACTTTCTTTCTGTAAATTTCAATCAAATCTAGGCAACATGACGGCTCAGTGGTTAGCACTGTTGCCTCACAGCAAGAAGGTCTTGGGTTCGATCCCCAATTTGGACCTGGGGTCTTTCTGAGTGGAGTCTTTTGGTGTGCATGCTCTCCTCATGCTTGTGTGGGTTTTCTCCAGGTACTTGGTTTCCTCCCAAAGACCAAAACGTAAAATAGGTTGCCCCCAGGCCTCCTTTGCAAAAGAGAACAGTGGTCTCAATGGGTTTTGCCTGGTTAAATAAAAATAAATAAATCTCACTGGTTCATGAGATACTTTGCTGACAGACAGGCCACCATCTACCAGTTATGTGTAGTCAGGTTGTGGAGAAAAACCCAGAGGAAGGATGAACAAACTTAAGTTTAGCTCAGATTTGAAACATGTTTTTTTTGCATTTCTTACTCACTATGATGCCAAACTGCTGCAGGGCCAAACGGATCACCTCATTGGTCAGATCTGAGTTGCTGACCGGAAGTGTCTTTGTCTGATTGGATGAAAAAACACATGTTGAAGAAAAACCCCACTGAAATAACTGAGAAAACACGACGCAGCAAGCTTCAAAGTGAGAAACTAACCACAGCAAAGGTGTTGAGTCCTTTCCCGTAGACTCTCAAAGGGATGGTCTTTGGCTCCTCGTTCTCCTTCTCTGCTTTGATCCGACTGTGAAGACAAAAACCAAACTCTGTCTGAGGGACAGAAGAGACAAAAACCAAAGTCTGTCTGAGGGACAGAAGAGACAAAAACCAAAGTGTGTCTGAGGGACAGAAGAGACAAAAACCAAAGTCTGTCTGAGGGACTGAATAGAAAAGACTTTTTTGTAGGTTTACCTCTTCAGGATGGACAGCCATCGCTCCTTCTGCTCCGCTGAACTGAGAGGAAACAAACATACAGGAAGTGTTAAATATCGCTGCCTGCTCAGTCAGATCAGAACATTTCTGTTAACAAGTGGTGGATGATGGTGTTTTTGCTTGATTTAAATAAGTGTCATGGATTACACATAATCATATCTGGCTTGTCTGTCCCTAGATCCTCCTGTCTCATATGTCTTCACTTGTTTTGTCCATCCTACATGTCTCATCTGTCTCTACTTTTTTATTGATACCCTGGTGGGAAAATTTGTTCTCTGCATTTCTTCTCACTCCACACATGAAGCAGTGGGCTGCCATTTTTTAAAGGCAGCCCAGGCCTTGCACAAGAGCCCAGAGTGGGGCTGGTTGTTCTGGGGGAGTTGAACTGGCAACCTCTAACCTCTGTGCCACTGCTCCCCCAAGCTAACGTTTCCCTACAAGACATCAGACTTGCAGTTGCAGCTGCACTTTAAACTGCCGGACCACAGGTACATCCATATTGTACTTAACAAACACATGTAGAATTGTAATTTTAAATACCATCTTCAGTAGCGTTAGCAGCGTTAGCGATTGCTTTTGTCTCAGGATGATGACATCCYAACAAGAGCTGAGCCCCARCAGTTCAGGCTGTGTTYCATTCCAAAACTGTTAAATRTAAGCTTCATTTAGTCACAACGTTTAAATTTAACWTTCAGTAGAAAATGAGCAAAATGTAAGAACAGTGAGCTAAATAACAATAAAATGTTAGAGGAAATTTATTTCCACTTGGCGCCCGACACAGCCAAGCTTTGTGCTTGCAGGACACAAAGCTAAAGCTGGTCAAAACTAAACTATTTTTCCAAACTGTGATTGTGCAACAAGTTATCTACAACAGGTAAGATATTATTTATTAATAAACATTCCACAGAAACTGTTAGATTCAGATAGACATCTAAATTTAATGTAGTTTCTTTGTGATTATTGTTGTTTTTATAGAAGTTTGTTTAGTCCCAGTTAGATAGGGTTTAATTAAGCTAAACTTATCCTAGATTACCTAACTCTGCTTTACTGAAGGAGCCCAGATTATTACTGAGATGAGTCGTTTGGATCTTTTAGAATCTCAGCTGCAGATCTTAGTTCCTCTGGTTGCTCATAAACCTGCTGTTCTATATTTGGTTCAGGTTTGTCAGGAGGAGCTGATGCTTCATCCTGTCTGTTTTCTGTTTCTGTGAGACATAAAGTTTTACAGCATCTCTGCCCTGCTCTCTGTTGAAACATAAACAATCTSAATGTCTCTGACGTAACGAAGCAAAGTTCAAGAAAAAGTTTGGTTTTAGATCAGAACAAATCTGTGGAGTTTGTTTGTTTTTATGTTAATCCAGATGAAAAAACCCGTGTTTACACTCTAAACTCAACCCGCTGTGTGTGTGTGTGTGTGTGTTACCTGAACACAGCCACACAGTTCCAGGTGGGCCAGCCCAGAACGAAGCTCCTTTCAGGGTTTGTGCTTCCCTCACACACCTCGTCCGTGCAGCCTCCGATCCACATCTCACACACACTCACCTGGAGTTTCTGTTTGAAGTGATTGGCTGATCTGAGACACACACACACACACACACACACACCCCCACACACACACACACAGATGGATTTGAACCAAAGGTGAGGCTCATGCAGGGAGAATCAAACTGGCCTTAGCTTACTTGGCCTTAGCGATGACCAGGATGTCGGTGAACAGGAAGAGGTGTCGGTCCTGGGTCTGCATGCCGGTCTTCAGCTGGGCGTGTCCGTAGAGGAGGAAGGTTCTGTYGGGGATGGTCAGAAGGGACCGGACCAACGGACACGTCTCTGGACACACAGGAACCAGGAAACTGTCTCTGTGACAGAAACAAACRGCAGAACTTCACTTTAAGACAACAGGAAGTCCTGACCACATCACCCAGGAAATCCTCAACTTCACCTGTAAAACTGTCTCCACCTACTGTAGTCCCTAATCTTTGGCAGAYTGACACGTGTCAATCATCTAAAACTGTCAGCACGGTCCAACCTTCAGGAGCTTTCAAACACGGTTACAACTCTTCACTTTCCTTGTCCATATGTTCAAAGACTGAAACTATTAATAGATGCCTGATCCTTTGGTTAGTTTGTCAACAGGTGGATTATCTATTAGAGCTGATCCAACACGTCCACTTGATCCATTTGTGACAGTTTGAGAATGAAGCTTCAGGTGTTCAGGTGTGAGCCTCTGTTTGTATCTGAGGACGATAACTCCACCCAAACAAACATTTTGCTCAGAGCTATGAAAAAMACCACATATTGTTTTTCTTTTTTTTCCTTTTTTGTGGCAAAATTGTGTTTATTTTAAATTAGGAAGCATAAGAAGACTAAAAAACATGAGACAAAAACGAAAATGGAATTAAAGGAAGGAAGCATAAGGAGACCAAAAAAAGTAAAATATGGAGACAAAAAGTAGCAAAAAGAAACAATAGAAGTAGGAGACAAAAAAAAAGTAAAAGACAAAAAGGAGAAATAAGGAGACAAAAAGTAAGCAATGGAAACAAAAAGAATGTAGGAGACAAAAAGGAGGTAACAGGAAACAAAAAGAAAGCATATGGAGACAACAAAGAAGCATAAGGAGACAAAAAGTAGGTGAAGAAATCAAAAATGGAATAGAAGGCAAAAGGAAGTAGAAGGAAACAAGAAAGACGTAGAAGGAAACAAAAAGGAAGCATAAGGAGACAAAAATAGGAGGAAGGAGACAAAAAGTAGGTGAAGGAATCAAAAATGAAGTACAAGACAAAAGGAGGTAGTAGGACAAAAGGAGAAMTAGAAGGAAACAAAAGGGAAGTAAAAGGAGAGAATAAGGATGTATAAGAAGACAACGAGGAAATGTAGGGAGACAAAAAGGTAGCATAAGGAGACAAGAAGGAGGTGAAGGAATCAAAAATGAAGTAGTAGAAGACAAATGAAAGTAGGAAACAGAAGGGAAGCATCAGGAGACAAGAAAGTATAAGGAGGCAACGAGGAACTATAAGGAGATGAAAAGGAAGCATAAGAACACAAAAAAGAGGAGAAAGAAGACAAAAGGGAAGCATMAGGAAACAAAAAGGATGTATGGAGAGACAAAGAAACATAAAWTGACATAATAAAAATGTAGTTTAGTCTTTTTATTGAAAGTAAAAGAGCAGAAGGAGCTGATGAAGAGGATTTGTTCTTTGAAACAAACTGAAGTGAAAACAAACTCAGGTGTGGACCCGGTTCTTGTACCTGGAGACGGTCTTGGACCTGGTCAGAGCCTTGGTGATGACGGAGGACGGGGCAGACTGACGACGATAACTTTGAAACCTCATCCGCTAAAAAAAACACAAAGAAGAAAAAWATCTCGTTTAAATATTCTGTTTTTAATTTTCAACTTCAGTTTGTCTGCAGACTGTCAAAAATCTGCTGCTTAAATTGATCCTGGGTTTGCCCCRCCCACTCAGGGATCAATACTTTTATTCTAATTGTTGAAGGATTTGTGAGACAAACAACAATTACACAGCATTTTTCATTGTGTGTCAGATTAACCTACTTGGACAGAGACAGGCTGTTTTAGGCAGGTCTGTGTTGGTTCGTTGAGTTCTTGTAGCTTTTATTGGTCTGATTTCCTGCTTTTAAGGGCCTGTTTGAGGACTGACGTGAACATTTCTCATGACTGAACTCAAGTTCAGCCTTTTTTTTTTATCTGCCAGAGTTCTGAACGGGTCCGGACAGAGTTTGGACAAAAGCTTCAATTTATAACTTCAACATTTAGTTTGATGCAACAAAATTGATTGTGATGTCATCAAGGAAAACAAACATTTTCCTGACAGACATAAACAGACTCATGTTAAAGGAGTTAAAAAGAAATGAAAAATTTGTCAGTTTTTTGACTACTTTTGCCTATTTTAGCTTCTAGCTACTACTTTTATCTTCCAGCAAATATTTTGCTACTTTTAGGTAGCTTTTCGCTCCTAAAAGGCAACGTTTTGCTACAATCAACTTTAGCTGACATTGTGTTACTTTTAGTTTTTAGCAAATTTAATGCTATTAACCTCTAGCTGTCATCTAGTTATTTTTCACCTACTGTTTGCTATTTTTAACTAGCTTTTTGCTCTTTTCAGCTTCATGCTACCATGTTGCTACTTTTAGCTTTAAGCTAATGTTTTTGTAATTCTAGCTAACCTTTAGCTAYKTTAGCCATCTAGCCACTGTTTAGCTCCTTTTAGCATGGATTTCCATACTTGTAGTTAACTAGCCTTGTGATTTCATTTTCTAGCTACTATTCTGTGACTTGCAGCTTTTGGCTAATTACTTTCTACTGTTTTTATCTAATGCTACTTTTAGACACTAGCTGCCATTTAGCTATTTTTTAACTTATAGCTACTGCTTTTCTTCCTTTATCTTTCAGCTATTTTATGATATAATTTTGTTCTTAATGGTGTTTACTTTGCTACATTTAGTTTTTAAGTAACATTTTGTTACTTTTAGCTAGACTTTTTCTATTTTCAGATCGCTTGCTGGTAGGCTACTTTTAGCTTTTAGAAAGTGTTTTGCTACTTTTAGTACAAACTTTTGATCTGCTTGTTTTACAGGGTTCCTACAGTTTAAGGAAAGTTAAATTTAAGACTTTTTAATGCCAAGTGAAATCAAATTTAAGACCAATTTCACAATTAACACAAATGACAAAAACTTGGCAGAAACTCATGAATCCAAGTATTTTTGGTTGAATTATTTAAATACTGCTAATAGACCGATTATATTTATCCATTTCTAACTGTTATTTTGTCAAATAAAGCTAAAAGAACATTCTTAGCAGTCTAAGAATAGACTGTGCCTGTGATGTAAAATGTTTGTAAGAAATATGAATGCATTTTTGGAAAGACAACATTATCAACAAATTACAAAACAAATTTCACGTTGCTCAGATGGACAGTTGTTGAGATATTTGCATGTGAAATAACAGGAAGTGATGTCAATTGTGAACRTCTAAATGTGAATATTTCAAAAATAAATAAATGTTACCAATTATTTTAATATTTGATATGAATTACAGTCGTCCTATTTACAATGTGATAACATTTTTAAGACTTCTGAACATTAAAGGGCTTTTAAGGCTAATTAAGGCCTTATTTTTGGATTGATGAATTCAAGGCCTTTTAAGACTTTTTAAGGATGTGCAGGAACCCTGTTTTAGGTTTAACAACTGAATTTCAACTTCTTCTCAAAATTCTCAGTAGCTTCAACAACCAAAGTACATCTCGATTCTTCGACTGATTTGATCTGTTTCACTTGTTTCTTTCATCATTTTTAATCAGATCTGCACCATATTTTTATGTTAGATACAAAATTACAATACAAATACAATACAAAAAGACAATCGACAGTCGTCAGGTTAAGGCCAGACACACAATCCCAGGTAAAAATTCAGTGATCAAGCTAACAGCCCTGAGGTGTCCCATAGACCAGCTACTCGAGTTTATGATTAAATGTGGTCAGAGTTAAATTACTGACATGTTTTTTAGTTTATTCTTTAGCCGTGTCGTGCAACCTTTAGAGGCAAGACCAGTCTGGTTGTAAAACCACAAACCGAGTTGATGTGTTAAAAATAATCTTCGTAACATTTTTTTCCTTCCAAAACACAAAATAATCTTACCACAAATAATCCAGAGATTAACGTTTTTCCTTAAGTTTAAAGGAGCATAAGAAAACAAAAACCTGAGGTTTCCATGGTAAAACTGAAGTCTTGTGAGTCATTTTGAGCCTAGGGCAGCAGGAGGGTTAACAACACTGCAGCTGCTTCTGCTTTGGTCGAGRCTAACCGTCGACTCAGAAACTCATTCTCCAAGAGGAGCTTTAACCACAGAACACGTCTTTAAAGTCTGAACTGCTTTAAGAGAAGAAAAACAGGGAATCTGTTAAAACATCTGTCCTTCAGTGGACGTCGACACATTTCTGTCTTTTCACGTTAACATAACATTAGTTTAACTTTGTCTCATGGTGGTGAAACATTCCTCACACCTGCTACACCTTTACCTTACCTCAGACTGAAAACTCTTAGAGACATCTGTGGGACAAACAAAACTAATAACCAGTTTCAGATTTAATATTGTTAGTTTTACCTCAACTTTGTCAAATAAGAAATTAGGGAAAAGGTGTAGATCTAAAAAAAGTATTTTTGTTCATTACGGATACAATTTTAGTTCACGTCAGACTTTTACTGTTTTGAGTTTTAACAGTGACACAAAGGTCCTCCGGTCGTATTTTTTGGTGTTTCTTTTAGCACATCCACGCATTCACTGTGTATTAATATTGAATAAAAGGAGGTAAACTGAAACGCATTTCCTTCTTACAGCCACTAACTAGGAGGGACAGTGAAGTTTACATAAGTCCATGTTTTTAAAATTGAGCTAATGTTTGTTTTGCAAACATCTACTCGGTGACGAACGTCGACATGAAGAAGAAGCTCAACCAGAGGAAGAGCTGAAACTGTGGCTCCAAGACTTTCAGCAACTTTSCAGGTGGAGACAGAAAATGGTTCAGGGCAGGTAAATCTCCAGAAACTTCCTCTGAACATTTGTCTGAGAGAAAATATGAAACTGTCCATGGGARATAGAGGAATCTCTGAGAATAAACTGCATTTAAGGGTTAATTTAAACTAAATAAAACCAAAGGAAGAAAATAAATGTAATCCTTAATTTATATTAAAAAAACAAACTTACAGGGTACTTTCAATGATACATACAGCGTACTAACAGAGGTACGCACCAGGTACTTACAAAGACACAAAGTACTTATAAAAAGGTACATACAGAATACTTCAGGGGCACATAGGGTACTTAGCGTGATACACACAAAGATACAATTTACTAATGGGGATACACACAGGGTACTTCATAACAGTACCAATGGGGTACATACAAAGACACACACAGGCTACGTACAGTGTATGAATGGGGGTACACACTTATATAGTGTACATAAAAAGATGCATAGGCTACAGGGTACTAACGGGTACACACAGGCTGGGTGGGCTACAC